GTAGATATCTGTGGGTTCAATGAAACAAAATTATTTTTCTAATACAAGTTTCTAATACAATTTTAAAAGAAAAATTGATTAAAATTCGTTTCCACGATATATGGTTTTATTACCTGAAGATTAAAAGTTATCAACAGATTCATCAACAAAATTTATTCATGAATTTTTTGATTACTTTTAGGTAACCATATATTGTGAAATTGGGCCTAAGAATCTGAGTATTGGCATACAACTGGGCATTACAGGGGAATGTTTATAACTCTAACATTATAGCATGTTGTACTGGTATGGATATATGCGTCTTCAAATCTGCTTACCAGATTTTTCCGAGTGTCCAAACGCGCATAATCCATAATTTTCATAGTACTACACATCGATTGCGGACCCATGTTACTATCCTTCGGATTAACACGAAGATCGACGTGTAAAATATCAGGAGTAGATTTGATAATGGACATTATGCAATCACTGTAACGTAGAACATTTTCAATGGTTAATGAAGATATTCATACTTTAGTGCACACAGGGTAAAAATCGTTGAATCGCTATTGGCTTACACTCCGCTTGTCAGTTTCATGAAGTCGTTTGTGCTCGCGTTTGTCCAATGAAGATTTTTAGGCTTCAAGCCGTTTAAGCAGCATCGAATCGCTTGTGGTGGCAATGTTAGCAAGTGCTCAGCTATCTTTTGCACTCTCGAAGCCGCTATGTTGCATTCCTCATATCCGTAATCTATGTAAATCACGTTGTACGATGTTTCGTCGTCGCTATTTATCATCACTGTGTTCACGCATCCACGATACCATTCGTTGACTTTCCATTGTTTGACGACACACATGTCATCTGTTATGAAAAATGATGAAAAGATGATCGTCTGTTTCTTTCAACTGATTTAGATCTGTTTTTTTATTCTTGGATCAGGATTCTGTATACAATTATTGACAATTATCAGGGTCGATAACTAACGATAAGTAAAAATAAGAAAAAACGCAGTTCTCATTGGCTGCCGCTACTCCATGATGCTGATAACTATCGGTAGACTTATACAGAATACGGGTCCTTTAAACTGGTGCAATAAGTTGAAAACAAACATATATTTGCAAAAAACAGATCTTTTGATGTTTATCTTTTCTCTTTTCTTTCCATAATAAAAAAGAGAAACAATGAAACGATGCAAGAAGTTTAGTTAGAACAGGTCTAATATCAACATTAACGATAATCTCGTACCTTGCTTGATATTGATCGGTTTCTTTAAATTCTCCTCATCGTTTCCGTATGTCATTAGATCTTTCTCTAATTGTAGGAATTTTGCTTTCATGGCCACTTTTCGTACAAAGAATAATGACGGATTAACAACGTACGTCACTTCCACCTTACACTCGGAAATACCTTGAAAGAGAAAGAGAATCGATTAGAATCTTGAGAAATAAAGATTAAAAAGGGTAACTTACTTTCTTCCTCTTTATCTTCTATCTCGATGGACATCGTCGACATTAATGAGTCATCAAGTTTTTGTTGCAGTTCTGATTGTATTATCGGTCGCATTATCGCCTGTTCTAGCTTTGCTTGCGGACTGTCAAGAATCTCTGTCAACATCATTTTATAGTGTAGTTACTTACGTTTTCGATTTCACACAAATGATGTAATTATGCAAATTAAGTAAAAACTTTTTTATGAAAATAATCTATTAAATCTATTGAAAACATTAGCTTATGATAGTGTATCAAAAAAATTATGGAAACAAAAATTGAAAATTCAAAGATGAAGATATATCTTGTTTTTGAAGAAATCAGTTAAATCACTGTAAAATTAGTATTTTCACTTGTACGAGGTTTCTTCGATAAAGGCGACATTATGTAATTTGTCGGCAGCTCCTCTTTTCGCACAAGACTGTAGGACGACACTGATGGCACTGTAATTGTACAGTGATTTTCTATAGCTTCGACGATTGAGTCATCGATGGTAAATCTATTAAAGAAACAACTTGTTACACTAAACAAATTCACTAATATCGCTTGAAATTAAAGTTATATAAAGATGACAGCTCAAATGACTAAGAATCACAATAACGTTTGTTTACAGATGACTTTAAATTGTTATTTGACGTAGCTTTTTATTAATATTTGATTCTAATATCGTTTGGATAATCTTTCGCGCTTCACGTGATGAACATCGTACATGATGAACAGTGTGTAAAAATAATGGATGTGAACTTCGGTATTGATAAAGAGATACTCAGTAACACTTAAGTTATGGCGAAGAATCGAGTCAGCAGTAAAAGCAATTTTATACATGCTGCGAGTTAGCGAAAAAAGTCTTAGTAGATAGTTATTCTAATTGATTCGCTTTTCATTACTCACTTTGCTTTGTTGTTCTGACCTGAGTCTTTGTACATCAAATGACAAGGAAGATCTGACATTTCCGTTAGAATGTTTATTGCGTTTCGTATGTCCACCTTATGGAAGGTCTGTTCCGCATAGGAGGCTAGCTACGGACAAATGTATCAAGTTCAATTCAATGCTTACTATTTCAAACAATATCTTTTTCATGTAGAGTAAATTTAGAGTGAAATTTAGAATCTGAATTTAATTAAAGGTTGTGTTATTTTTGCCGGATTCACTTCCATTCTATCAATTATTTAATTATGCTTAATTATAAACACCCATTACATTTTTTTCTTCACAAAAATCTTTCGTTTGTTTTAATTTTAGAAAGTTAAAATTAATTACGAATATAAGGCAGATTATATTGTTGGAATGTAAGACAAGAGATTATTTTAAGAATTAAGAGATTATTTTAGTGACGTCTTTAAAATTTTAACAATAAAAATATTTTAAATTTAATTGTCGCTCTCACAGTAATTATCTCACGCGTCCGTCGAAATGAATTTGCTTCGAAGCACCGTTCAGTTCATTTTGATGATTTTTGTCTCGAGATTTCACGTGACCCAATCACAATACAGCACATTATTTGCCTTGACTTTAGAGTGTGAGAAATAAATACAAATTGGTGCTCTTGAAAATAGCTTAATGATATAATGTAGCCGCGTGAGATTTGCTATTTTTAGATAATTCTAAAAGATATTTCTTGACAATATAATTTAAAACTCATAGAATAATGAAGTAAATCGATTTGAAGCAAAAGGCGGACAAATTTCTAGCGTCTAATTGATAATTCTTTATTTTTAAGAGAAGTACCTGCATTGTAAGCTTCAATTTTTCCTCCTGCGATTGAAGTTGCAGTTCGATGTTTTCTAAATTGTTCTTGAGGTGATTACCCTGCTCATACAGCTGGTTTATCAACTTTGCTTCCATATTTTGAAGAATGCCGTGCAGATACGCGAAATGTTGGGACACTGCCGCTTCGGTATCATTTTCTAGCTTATATGTGTTGGATGTAAACGCCGATTTTATTTTCTGAAAGGAAATCGCATACGATCCGTTAATATATGATATATAATTTATGTAATGAAAGTCCAGTCAAGAAATTTTATAAGAGAAAATGAAGAGACATGAAATAAAATATAATAAAATAAAGGACTGAATTAGAAAGAAGAACAGGTTTTTGCTAATATACAAAGTAACAAAATAAGTCTTACATTAGATTAGTGAGAAATGAAGTTTGGAAGTACGCGGGATATGGAAAAGGAGAGAAGGTGAAAACTCCGATATCTGCTGGTAATGTTGTGCATATCCATTCGTGCAAATGACTCGAAATAAAAAAAAATATTATTGCGTCAGTGCACAGAATCGACGAAAGAGGCCGTACGAGGTATCATTTTTCTCGCGAGTTTCGATTTCTAAGTTCGTGGAAAAAAATTTCATCGTGTTGCCTCAGCAAACTCTCAGGTCGCCGTTTCGCGTGGAATAAATCGGCAGGATTAACAAAGTATACAACATTGTGCACTACTGTAGTTCTCTCGGGAAATCCTCGTAAATCGCTATCGCGAAAATTTATCACTGCTAATCGATGACTTTTACACGCATTTGCATTATTCCTTACTTAATAACTCCGTAGATTTCTCACACATCCTATGTACGTCGATATTAGGTACAAAATTATCTGGTGACCAAAAATATTTATTTATTTTCTGTAAATGATGTCATACTATTATCTCATAACTAAGATAATAGTACATCAATTACAGAGAAATAAATAGAATAGAATGGGATGTTTATTTCCTCTTCAGCGTATTTACATACCAAGAAGGGGACTTAGTTTACAATTCTTCTTAATTCACTCATTCATCCGTATCTTTCACATTTTTATTTGCTCATTTCCTATCTTTATAATTAATTATATACTACTTATATATATATATATA